TGTTAGCCAGGATGGTCTTGATCTCCTGACCTCGTGATCCGCCCGTCTCGGCCTCCCAAAGTGCTGGGATTACAGGCGTGAGCCACCGCGCCCGGCCAGAAGTTTCCATTTCTGACAGTCCAGCAACTCGTGCTTGACTGGCCAGTAGCTTCCCCGCCAGGTCCACCCCTTCCTGAAGCACCTGGGGGGTGGGAACAGAGAAAGAACTACCAAGTGCTCTGAGCCGGCCTCATGTCTCCCAGCCTCCTTCCCCTCTCATCTTTGGGGAGGTTCCTTGCAGGGAGGCCACCTCCATCCATCCTGAGCCCATCTGTGAAGGAGGGACTGGTGTCACTGCCACAGCAGTGCATAGCATCTGCCCCCCTTTGGCCCTCAGGAGAGGGAGCTGGAGCTGCAAAAGGAACAGCGGCGGCAGGAGGAGAACGACAAGCTGCGCCAGGAGTTTGCCCAGCACGCCAATGCCTTCCACCAGTGGATCCAAGAGACCAGGTGCCAGCCCTCTGGGGCCAGGGGGCAGCAGCATGTCCCTGCTATGCTTAAGCCCTGGAGAGCCTCCAGCCCCAAGGAGGTGGGGGTGCTTTGTGTAAAACCAGAGGCAGCCTGGGAATAAAGCTGGGCTGGCAACGCCTGGTCGTGTTTGGAGCCGGGAGTGGGAGCATAGGTAGAGCAGCCTCCCAGTGCTGCATGTCCCAGAGACCGAGTTGCTGGAGCTCCTGGATTGAGTGGGGCCACGCAGGGTGTGTGATCAGCCCCAGCAGTGATTTGGCAACAGACGATGCAGGGTCTATGCATTGAGTACTGATGTTGTTGCTTTTGTTTTCCTTTCTTTCTTTTGTCTTCTCTCTGTCCCCCACCTCCCGATTGCTGCTGTTGTCCGGATACCACCTTGTCTCCTGGCTGCTTGGATCTGCTCTCCACAGGACATACCTCCTCGATGGGTTAATATTGTTTTCTTCCTTCTCCGGGCTTGTCGTGTGGGGTCTCGTGCGCTTGCCTCTCTGCCCTTGTCCTGTAGCCTGGCTTGTGGAGGATCCCGGGATGGGCCTTCCTGCCCAGGGCAGGCTGCACTTCCCCTCCCACCTTTCCCGTCACCTGACAAGGAGCGTGTTCCTTGCCCCATAGCCCATGGTCCCGGGTCCCCGATAGAGCCTTCAAGCCAGAGGGAGCTACCCTTGCCTCACTGAGCGATTCCAAGGGCTCACTTTGGGTAGTGAAGGTGATGAAGCACAAAGGCCAGAGCTGGAGTCCAGGGGCCCTGAGAACCCCCGTGCCTGTCCAGTCCCCGGGCTCTGTTGGGCTCTCAGCGCTGCTTCCGCAGCGTGTCCAACAGTGGTCAGTGGGCATGAAGCAGATGGCAATGTTGGGGGCTCAGGCAGGGTACAGTAAGTTCACAGCTGAGAAGGGCTGGGCACTGACACCTCCCAAGTAGCTGAGGCTGCCATTTGACTTTCCTGGGGTCAGGAAGGGTAAGAACTGTCTGCCCTAATAGAAGGCAAAAATGCCCCCGTTATGATGTGATAGACAGGACGTGGGAGGAGCCCCAGGGAGGAGCAGAGCTGTCCCACCCAGTCCCGGCGGGGGCTTCTCTGCTCGGCCTGGGGCCTCTCCCTGGGCAGGTCACCTTTGTCATCTGCCAAGCCCGCTGTGAAAGCCAGGGCTGGTGGGACTGGAGTGGCTTAGCCTGCACTCCTGAGGCTCAGCACACAGGCATATCAAGCCTGTATAGGCGGCCAGGAGAAAAAATAGACCCCTCCAGCCGGGCCACACATTCTGATGGCAGAGCAGCTGGGGACGTAGGGATCGCAGTTTCCGGCCTGTGCCTGTAGGACACCCTGGCCACCTGACTCCCCTCCCTGCCCCATGGCTGTGTCTGCTGGTCTTGTTCTTGTCTCCATGAGGTCATGAGGTGCCACGCTCCCCTCACCTTATGGCTCCTTCCAAGCCCTGCCCTTCTTGCCCATTCCTAGTGTGAGCTGCCTGGGGTGAGCCATTGGGCCTGCTGCCTCCAGGTACCCGCCAGGCACCAGGTTGCCCTTGCCTGCGCCCTGCCAGCTTGGGCCTTGTATGTCTGTTGCAGTGTGCTCTTGCCTCCCCTCCCTTTGGTGTATTCATTTGGTTTCTTTTCTTTGACTAGCATAGCATATCGTCGAGTCATTCGTGTCTATCAGTATGAAGTTGGGGATGATCTGTCTGGAAGGTTTTTCTCCTTATTTCTCTTCTTACCTCACTGTGGCTTTACTGATGCACTCTTGACATCCCCAGGCGGCTCCACCCTGACTAACCTGCCGCCCTCAGCCGCTTGGGAAGGAGGGGTCTGTCCTCCCACTGCACCGGCACCCAGCCTCCTGCCCCCAGGTCCTGGGGGGCATTTTCCCCGGGGGGACATGGCGTGACTGTGAGTCTGACCTGCTGGGGTAGGAGGAAGCCTGGTGCCTTGCCTTGCTAGAGCACTTTGAACTTGGGGAGATTGCAGAGCTAACCCTGGCTCACTGGGTTTTAAAAGGGTAGGCTGGGGCGAATGTGGGTACAGGGGAGCTTGGGCTAAAACCCCACCAAGGCCATACACCCTGTGTGAATCCGTCCTTGCACGTCCCTAACTTGTCGTCTTTGTTTACTGGTAGCCTCTGTGACCTGGCACTGTGTTCTCTTGGGAAGGAGCTTCCCCAAAGCCCATCTGCTCTCAGAACTTGATCCTAGAGAGGAGGCTGCCTCCCTGACTGTGTCTAGAGGATGAAACCGGGATCTGGGGCTTAGTCACAGCCATCCCTCCTTTTGGCACAGTCGGTTGTGATCTCCCAGCACTCCACTTGTGTCCTCTGTCTGCAGGGTCGTGCTCTCATTCCCCCTAGAATGGGGCTCCCTCCTCAGGAACCTTGCCAGGACACTCCAGGGTTTCTATGGGGAGGCTGTCAGGTTCTCAGCCTCCCCTCTGCCCTGAGGTCTCCCGTCTGTCAGGTGTCAGGGTGTCCCATCCCCTCCAAGGCTGCAGAGAGGATGCTCAGACAGGCTTGCAGCTGCCCTGCACCCATGGGGGAATTTAAACTCCATTCCTGAGTCATCCTGGCCCTGGGAGCAAGACGAGTGGGCTCAGCCCTAGCCCACACCAAGGCAGCAGCTTCCCATCTCTAAAACGGGAGAAATGCTCCCTGCCCTCCCTGGATTCCTGGGGCCCATTAGATAAAGATGGCCAATTGCAGTTAGGTTCAGTTCCCTTAAAAGGAATGTGAGGTTGCCAGGCACTGCTCTGAGAGAAGGTTCATTCTGAGCTCTCGGCCGGCTGGGAGCAGGCCCTTTTCCTTACTGTCCTTCTGTGTCTAGGTCCTGCATGGTGGAGGAGTCGGGGACCCTCGAATCCCAGCTTGAAGCTACCAAAGTAAGTGCCCATGGGGCTGTGGCCCAGCAGAGACCCCTCACCCAGCCACCCCCCAGGCTACCCCTTCCCTTCCTGGTTTAAAGTCAGGAACCAGATGTGCTATTGTACTCTTTTCCCTTGGCCTAAAGCAGTCTAGGGCTCTTCACTCTCTCTCTCTTCTTTTTTCTTTCTTTCTTCATGGAGTCTCATTCTGCCGCCCGGGCTGGAGTGCAGTGGTGCGATCTTGACTCACTGCAACCTCCATCTCCTGGGTTCAAGCGATTCCCCTGCCCCAGCCGCTCCCAAACAGCTGGACTACAGATGTGCCAGCACGCCCGGCGAATTTTTGTTTCTTTTTAATTATCTTTTGAGATGGAGTTTCACTCTTGTTGCCCAGGCTGGAGTGCAGTGGGCATGGTCTTGGCTCATTGCAACCTCCACCTCCTGGGTTCAAGTGATCCTCCTGCCTCAACCTCCCAAGTAGCTGGGATTACAGGCGCCCACCACCACACCTGGGCCGTTTTTGTATTTTTTGTAGAGACAGGGTTTCATCATGTTGGCCAGGCAGACTGGTCTCAAACTCCTGACCTCAGGTGATCTATCTGCCTTAGCCTCCCAAAGTGCTGGAATTAAGCGTGAGCCACCACACCTGGCCTAATTTTTATGTTTTTAGTAGAGAGTGTTTTGCCATATTGGCCAGGATGGAGTTGCCATCCAACTCCTGATCTCCAGTGATCTGTCGGCCTCGGCCTCCCAAAGTGCTGGGATTATAGGCGTGAACCACCACTCCCTACCGAGGGCTCTTCACTTTAAAGAAAGTCTGGGGCTGGGTGTGGTGACTCACGCCTGTAATCCCAGCACTTTGGGAAGCTGAGGCGGGTGGATTGCTTGAAGTCAGGAGTTCGAGACCAGCTTGGCCAACATGGTGAAACCCCATCTCTACTGAAAATACTAAATATTAGCTGGGTGTGGTGGCAGGCACCTGTAATCCCAGCTACTCAGGAGGCTAAGGTAAGAGAATCACTTGATTCTGGGATGCAGAGGTTGCAGTGACCCGAGATCAGGCCATTGCACTCCAACCTGGGTGACAAGAGCGAAACTCCATCTGAAAAAAAATTAAGTCTTTAGGCACAGTGGCCCACACCTGCCCCAAGTCCAGCATGGGCAATGTAGCAAGACCTTGTCTTAAAAATAAGGCTGGGTGCGGTGGCTCATGCCTGTAATCCCAGAACTTTGGGTAGGCCAAGACAGGCAGATCACTTGAGCCTAGAAGTTCAAGACCAGCCTGGTCAATGCAGTGAAACTTCACTTCTACTAAAAATACAAAACTTTGGGTGGGTGTGGTGGTGGGCACCTGTAATTCCAGCTACTCAGGAGACTGAGGCAGGAGAATCACTTGGACCCGGGCGGTTGCAGTGAGCTGAGATTGCCCCACTGCACTCTAGCCTAGGTGACAGAGTGAGACTCCATCTCAAAAAAAAATTAAAAATCTTTGGCCATTGCTTCCTGGAGTCCTCGCCGCACTTATCCTCAGTGTGCACTGCCCCCTGGCAGGTCTACCAGCTGCTTTAGAACCCTCACATTGAAAGTCTCTCCTCCTGCTGAGGTGGTTGGGGTTTCTTCAGCTTCACCCCATCCCACTATTCCTATTCTAAAATGTTCTTGTTTTAAGAGGTCTCAGGCCAGGCCTGGAGCAGGAACCAGAGGGCAGTAAGTGGCTCCTGGGCTGGTGACTGAGCTGAGGGCCCCTGTCTGAGCATCTGTGCTCCCCGCCCCTGCAGCGCAAACACCAGGAAATCCGAGCCATGAGAAGTCAGCTCAAAAAGATTGAGGACCTGGGGGCCGCCATGGAGGAGGCCCTCATCCTGGACAACAAGTACACGGAGCACAGCACTGTGGGCCTGGCCCAGCAGTGGGACCAACTGGACCAGCTGGGCATGCGCATGCAGCACAACCTGGAGCAGCAGATCCAGGCCAGGTACCCGGGAGGGCTGTGGGCCAGGCTCAGCCTGGAGCCCAGGGAGGAAAAGACACGGTCACCTGCTGTGTGGAGCGTCTGCTCCCTAATTTCTGTTTTTCTTCCAGGAACACGACAGGTGTCACTGAGGAGGCCCTCAAAGAATTCAGCATGATGTTTAAGTGAGTTCAGTCCTACTCGCCCTGGCTGGGTGGGGGGTGTTCGGCAGCAGGGCTGTGTGCTGAGCTGCCCTCGGCTTTGTGCTGCAGACACTTTGACAAGGACAAGTCTGGCAGGCTGAACCATCAGGAGTTCAAATCTTGCCTGCGCTCGCTGGGCTATGACCTGCCCATGGTGGAGGAAGGGGAACCTGACCCTGAGTTCGAGGCAATCCTGGACACAGTGGATCCAAACAGGTAAGCCTTAGGCCGGGTGCTGTGAACCTGCACCCTGAGCACCCACCTGCCCTCCCTGCTCAGGCTCTTGCTCCTCCTCTCCTAGAGATGGCCACGTCTCCCTGCAAGAATACATGGCTTTCATGATCAGCCGTGAAACTGAGAACGTCAAGTCCAGCGAGGAGATCGAGAGCGCCTTCCGGGCCCTCAGCTCAGAGGGAAAGCCTTACGTGACCAAGGAGGAACTCTACCAGGTATGGGCCTCAGGAGGTGGGTGAAGAGGTGTCCTTTGGAAAACTAAAGTCACATTTGTGGCAGAGCCGAGTCTGGGGCAACAGGCCCTGTGCTGGGTACAGGAGTTTTCTCCCCATTTACAAATCAAACCCAGTATGGACTGAAGTCCTGGATCTGCTCGTAGCAGCAGCTCTGAGCCCCCAGCATCCTGAGACCTGGGAGGTCAGCTTTGAAGTGGGTGCAGCTGGCTCAGACACTAGGTGTGGTCTCTTACCCCGTAGAACCTGACCCGGGAACAAGCTGACTACTGCGTCTCCCACATGAAGCCCTACGTGGATGGCAAGGGCCGTGAGCTCCCCACTGCGTTCGACTACGTGGAGTTCACCCGCTCGCTCTTTGTGAACTGAGCCACTCCCTGGGTCACCCGCCCCTCGCTGCTTGCCCCGCGTCGCCTTGCTGCATGTCCGCTCCTCTGTGTGCTCTCACTTTCCACTGTAACCTTAAGCCTGCTTAGCTTGGAATAAGACTTAGTAGAAAATGGTGCTTCACTAACCCGCTTCCGGTCCAGTCACAATCACCATGTCACTGTGGGGACCCAGATCCACGTCTTGAAGCAGCTGCCCTCATTCCGACTTCAGAAAATCAAAGCAGCTGGCTCTTCCCCTTGTTCTCCCGCCCTCCCCCAAATCTGTTTTCATGTAAAAGACAAATAAATGATGACTTCCCCCAAAACTTTGCTTTTCTTCATTCAGCTTGTTGTCAGAAACACAAGGCTCGGCACAGCGAAGGCTTGCACCCGCCTCCGGGACCCCTCAGGTGGCCACTTCCGCTGCCAGGCGGTCCAGGTCCTCAGCTTCCCGGGGCCCTTGTTCCACGAACTCTGTGCTCAGCTGCCACACCTTTACTGTGCCCTGGGCATCGCCCGCAGCCAAGAGCTGAGTCTGCTGGCTGTTGAACTCCAGACAGTAGACAGGGCTTTCATCCTGGGTTTGCTTGATCAAAACTGTGGGTTTCTGGGAGCTTTTCTGGAGATCAAACAGCAGCACGTCACCTGAAAAGACAGATCCATGGAGTAAGAGAAACTCCAGAGACCCGCCACATGGAAGGAGGAGGCTGCCGCCTGGGTTCAATCCTGTCGTGTGCAGCCACGGTCGCTTTGAGTTGGGTTGCTGGAGGGAAGCCATCCTTACCCCCACGTGCAGTCTTTCTCCAACCCAGAACCCCAGGTATAAGCAGGGGCCAGACCACCCACCCCTTAAAAGAGATCCAGGCCTGGCGGCCCCTTCCTACCTTCCCCAGAGGCAGCTGCAAAAACCAAGGGCCGCACTGGGGACCAGCGCACAGCAAACAGATACTTGAGGGAGAGCTGCAGCGAGGTCAGGGGAGGGGCCTGCAGCATGGAGTACAGGTGGACATGCCCGTCGGTCCCAGCGCTCAGGAAGAGATTCCTAGATGGGATGCAGGGGGCCAGGCAAGGGAATCAGTGCTGGGGTCTGGGTGGTGCTGGCCCCCAACACCAGACCCCTCCTGGGCTACCAAGCTCATGAAGAGCCTCCCTGGTCCCTGAGCCTGGAGCTGGTCCTCTCTTAGAGGGACGATGCCTGGGCAAACCACCAAAGACCTGGACAGGGTCTCAGGTGGGCAGAAGGCAAGCACTTGAAGCAGTTCGTCATGAGGCTTGGCAGGCTAGAGACCCGCAGGGCAGGGATGCCCTGGCCCCACTAAGCCTCGGGCCCAGGCCTCCCCTGCCTACCTGTGGAAGGGGGAACAGCTCACAGAGTAGACAGGACCACCATGGGGGGAGAAGGTAAACTGTGCCGGGGCCCGCAGGGGCACAGAGCTGGGCATCCGCGTGAGGGCTGCCTCTCCAGCTGCCAGGGAACACTTGAGCGGGAAGCCACCTTCCGTGCCCAGAATGAACAGCCTAGGGTCAAAGCTGGAGAAGGCCACTGCCGTGGCGCCCACCTCGGTCTCCCCCCGGGAATGCTGTGGAGAAATGGCAGCAGCAGGGTCAGAGCCAAATGCATCAGATGGCACTGTCCCAACAGAGCCAGAGAACAGGAGGGACGACCACAGCAAGTCAGGCCCACTGGCCACACCTTCCCGCCCCCAAGGCTCTCCAGCGCAGGCCAAGGCAGTTTCCGGGCGCCCGCCTACCTTCTTTAGCTTGGTGCTCCGTGGCAGTTGCTGCATGACCAGGGCGAAGCCCTCCGTGAGCTGCAGCTGGCCCGCCCCGACGCCACGCCAGAGCAGCACCTTCCCGTCGGTGGCCACACTCAGCACCTGGAAGCGGTGGCTGTGCCCGGGCTCGGGCAACCACACCACCTGAGATGCCAGTGTGCAGGGCCAGGATGGAGACAAGGGACACCTGGCCCAGGTGTTAACTCCACCCCTACCTTCCCTCTCTTCCAGGAAAAAAAGAATTATCAGGGAGGCCCAAGAGCCAAGCTCACCCACGAGGGGGCAGGCCCAGAGGGTTCCCAGGGCCCTCTCCAGTCCCAGAATCCCAGTGCCGCTCACTCGGTGCCTGCAGAGGAGGCTGGGAATGGCCACAGGGCCCTGGGAGTGGCTTCTGAGGGGGGTGACTCATGCTGTGGGAGCTCTGAGAATGCAGGAGGCAACTGTCCAATTGCCAACGCCCGGGTGACCTTCCTAGGAGAGTGGGTGCCCTCTGCCCAGCTCTGCCTCAGGGCCCACCCCGCCCGGCAGCCCCTGCCCTGACCTGGGACACAGGGTCTGTGTGGGTGTCATCCGTCAGGCCTGTGCACCACAGCAGCGGGTCCTCAGGACGGCTCAGGTCCCACACCAGCACCTCGCCACTGTACAGCCCTCCTGCAGGGATAGTGGGCCTGGGCAGAGGCTCAGCCCTACCTTCAGCCTGGCTTCCTGGCCAAGCACCCGCCCTGGCCCACCCACAGGGCCAGGTGGCAGAGCCACTTGGCTGGAAGTCATCCCCACAGAGGGAGAGTCCTAGCCCCCAGCTCCCCTGCTGTACCCCAGGGAGCTCTGCCGGACACCTCTGCCCTGCACCTGGCAGCTCCCTCCAGCGTTGTCTGCCCCGTACCACTGATGGCTTCCCAAGGGCACCTGCCTCTTTTGGCCTCTCCACAGCCCCCTAGCCCCGACCGTGGACCCCTTCCAGACTCCTCCTCCGAGTCCCACCCCCTCAGGCCTCACCACAGACCTTCACCTGGGCTCCAGGCTGAGGGGGGTCAGGGCCTGCCTTTCTGTCTCCGGGCCAAAGGGCCCATGAAAAGCTCCCTTGTGTGCCTCTGCAGGGCGGGAAGCTGAGTCCTGAGAGGAGAGGAGGCAGAGGCAGCAGGTAGCTCACCTGCGACATGGGAGGGCTGCGTGGGGTGGAAGGCCAGACACAGGACAGCACTGGGGACCTCCACCACGGCCGACGGCTGCCGGGGACTCAGGCCTCGCCGGTCCAGGTTCCAGGCACACACGAAGGACTTAAGCGTGCTCCAGTCCCCATGGTCCAGCCTGCACACGGACACACCTTAGCCGGCTGTGCCCCTGGGTGGGGCTCCTATCACCCACCCCACCTCTCTCCCCACTAGCCCTCGACACATTCGCTGTGTCCTTGTCACCACTAGACACTACTCTGGGTATTGAAGTGGCCCACGCTCCACTCTAGCACCCCAAGGGCATGACATTCTCTGGGAAACGGTCCCCCAGCACCAAGGATGGTCCATGCCATGCAGGATGGGGACGCAGCGAGGCAGGCAGGCCCAGGGCCGCCGGGCAGGGGGGAGGGCGGTCCTGGCACTCAGCCCCACTGCCTGCTCTTCTCCTGCCACTTGTTGTTACCCCCGCCCAGGAAGCCTTAAGAAGAGACTCCCAGGATGGCCAAGCTCTTAGAATCAACTCTTCCCTGTGCAGCTACAGAGACAAGGCCCAGCGAGGGTCCTGGAGTGGCACGCTGCCCTCACCCGCCCCCCTGCCACTCACCTGCCGTAGGCACAGGCCACCACGGAGCCAGTGGAGTTCCAGGAGATGCCGGTCACATGCAGACCTTGCGCCTGGGCTGGAGGGTAGCCCAGGGTATACAGACAAGACACCTGCGGAGACGTCCCCAACCCTGAGTCCCAAAGCCACCAGCAGAGGGCCTCGTGACTGCCTAACCAAAAACCCCACCTAGGCCAGGCCACATTGGCCCTAGAGGCCCTCAAGTCCATCGGCCAGGCCTAGAGGAAAACGTGGAGTGTTCATCCCCACATCTGTCCCAGCAGGATGCTTCCAACAGCCCAGAAGGCATGGCCTGAGAAGCAAGGCCGACCAGGCTCCTGCCCAGAGCGGCAGCTGCCCTCACAGGCGCACTCCACAGTTTCCAAGCCTCAGGGGCTGTAGCAGGAAGGTAGGGATGGCTGCCAGCAGCATAAAAATGCCCAACATGGCCGAGTGGGACACTCGACAAGGGGTCAAGCAAACCATCCAACGTCATACTGTGCTACACGCATATGATTTTGTGGTGGTGGTGGTGGTGAGTTGGTTGGTTTTCTTTTTTGAGACAGAGTCTCACTCTGTGGTCCAGGCTGGAGTGCAATGGTGCAATGTCCACTCACTGCAACCTCCACCCCCCAGGTTCAAATGATCCTCATGCCTCAGCCTCCCAAGTAGTTGGGACTACAGGCAAGCATCACCACACCCGGCTAATTTTTGGGTGTATGTTTGTGTGTGTGTGTGTGTATGTGTGTGTGTGTATATATATATATATATATTTTTTTTTTTAAGAGACGGAGTCTTGCTGTGTCACCCAGGCTGGAG